GACTGAAGTTTGATGTGGTAGCAACGAGTCATTCCTAACACATACTTTGTCTGCGAACAGCGAGATCTTTCAATACTGCATGAGATCACGTGTGCCATTTATATGGTTTGACCAAACAGGTTATAATGCAGTACCCTCTCATCGTAAGATGATCTTAATTTAAAACTGGCATTAAAGGTGCCAGGGGGATAATTCAGTCCTCTAAGGAATGCTATGCCTGCAATTGGTCAAATTTTTGTCCAAAATTAACCTAACTAAAAAAGAATTAACAGTATATCAAATGTTTGAGTGTCGGAGCAGCTGGTCATGCTGAGAACTGTCAGATTCTGGTCCCCAGCTGACCGACTGGTGCATCCATGGTAGAGAATTTAGAGTCAGGCAACAAGACTCTGTGACCCCACAGCTCCAGTGCATGATGGGAAATGCCATGCCTAACACCTTCTAACAGGCTTTACCAAGAGTTATTGACTCTATGAGATTTGGAGCTGATTTTTGAAAACTGAGAACAAGCTCTTAAAGCTTTTGTATAATGAACTAATTAACCTTTTAAACAATCGTTAACAAAAGCCTTTCTGGCTGGTGAGGAAGTGGGTGTTCTAAAGTAGCTCCTGCAGTCTGTGTAAATATTTAATCATTTTCGGTGACGTCACAACCAGCAAGTTAGGGGTTCAGTCCTTAGCCCTGCCATGCGTCGGTGTGTCGATCTGAAGCACATCTGGACGTTTGTATGAATTTATACACATCAGTTTGTGGAGCCCAGGGTTAAATTGGCTACAGAAAAGCAGATAGTTCAATTTAAGCTAATCTGGATTAAAAAATAATAATAATTTATTTCAACTTGATAAATTGTTAATATTTTCCATTGGCTTTGAGTGACAGCAGCGTTCAGCTGATGGACAGAAAAGATGATTTGACGCTGACTTGATGTGGATTCGTGTTCACTGAGGCCGATGCCTCAGAGATGACACATGGTGCATTTTAATCTGTGAACCATGTTGTTGTTTAAAACATTACCTGCAGACTGATTATAGGAGAGGGACATTTTCTGAGCTCAGAATCTCATCAGGACATTAGAAGATTCTACTCAAGAAACAAATACTATCAGAAACTTATATGCATTTTGTTTTTGTTTTTCCACCGAATAGTATATTAGCTTGTATGGCATGAATATTTTAGCATTGTTCAGTAATATATAAAACATATTTACAGAAATGGCACACTTCATTTCAGCATAGTTTGAAAGGTAGTCTTGACTGTATCTGAATCTGGCTTTCAAGGGCAAAGATAAATAAATAAAAATTAAAATATCTGTTTTATTAAAGAGATTTTGCACAAAGTTCACCATATAAGTGGTGCTTTGGCCACACCACTAACTGTTACCTTTTAAGTTTCTGTTGTATCTTGTTTGTAAATATATCCCGACTGTGTGTCTGAGGCTATTTCCAGGTCACATGGAGCGTTTTGACCCCATCTCACATTTCGAGTGACCGGATGATGGGGTTTAGTTTCCCTGCTCACATTTTAATTTAGCTGCTGGAACCTGTTTTCTAAAGAGACATGCAGTTTCAGCTGAACATGAGAACGTGAAACGTCTTTTTTTATTTTTAATGGAGGTGTTTTTTTTTTTCCACCAGCAGCTTGAAAGCGATCAGTTGTTACATTGGTTTGTTGTGCGGGTTCACATGGAGGCACACTCAGAGCTCAGGTTTACTAACTAAAATCATTTTCTCAAAAAGTAGCCATTCTGTTCATTCACTTGTGTGTGAAGTAATGTATTTTATGAACAAACTGAAACACACCAGTATACCTGGGATGCAATAATCTTCTTATTGCATGCTCCACTTATTCAACCCTTGCTTACGATATAAAATCTTATAGGAATAGTTTGGAAAAGGCATAACATGGAAGGTATTTAGAGGATGTAAAATAAAGCATATTTGAAAGTATTACACAACTTTTCAAGAGGTAATTAAAACTTTATGCCTCTCAATAAAAAAAACCTTTGTTAATACAAAAACAGTTTTTTAGCAATAGACCTTTCTGACAGCCCAAACAATTACGGCCTTTGTGCCACTTTTTATTTTTTCTATTATAATATATATATATATATATATATATATATATATATATATATATAATATACATACTCATCTGCTCACACAGACTCATGTTCATGTTGTTGTTCATCGTATTGTTTTTGTACTATTTGCTTAGTGTATTCTTAGCTTTAGCGTATTTCTTAGTTCATATCTTAGATCTTATTACTGTTTTTCTTTAGTTTATACTTTTGTTGGATGTAACTGGGACCCTGTGTACATATATAATTTTGTTTCACCACCACATGTAAGTGGTGCAAATGACGATAAAGAAACCTTGACTTGACTATACACATTGAAAAAACACTGCATAAAATGCACAAAAGCAAAGAAAAGGATTATTGATAATTTTAAGGATGTATTTTCTAATATGGATATACAATTTCAAGATTATTTTTTGAAAATAGCCACATTTGTTATTTTTCCTCAAACTCCCATTAATAAAAAGTTGATTTTCGCATCATTTCAATTGCCATGTGGTAAATCTGCCCAGCATGTCAACAGAGCAAGGAAAAAAAAAAACAAAAAACGTTTTGTTTCTAGTTTAAAAATCTTAACAACCAGTTTTCTAAATTAAAAAAAAAAATAAAAAAAGTTTTTGTTTCCTATCTAAAGGCGATGAACCTTAAACTGGATTAAATGAGTGAAAATCATCAATAACACAAAGACTTGCAAGTTTTTGAAATGACTAAAGTTGTCATGTTCCACCTGTTGGGTGGTCTCAGCTGTGGAGATGATGTGAGGGAAAGAACACGCTGCACGTAAAAAGGCTCAACATGATGAAATGTGTTCATTCAGTACTTTTTTGAACGGTCCTGACGCAGAACGACCACACCCTGAACTCCCTGCCAACTGCCCTCTAAAACTGTCAGGCCCCGTCTCCTGCTCAGACAGCTCCTACCGCGCAACGATTTGATGCTCAAACGTAGGAAAAGAAGGCGGGTTGAAGTTTAGAATTCAGGAGTCCAGATGTTGTAGCTTCAAAAACATCAACAAAGAAGTAAAATCAGGAGCAGAGGCTAAACGGGAGAGGCGACTTGGTCTGGACTGAACAGGACGCCCCCTCCCACTTCCTCCTCCGCCAATCATTACATCAGCTGGGATTGTTTTATTTTGGGGGGTAGCTCTTGGTGGAAGAAATGTGAACAGATGTGAGTGTTTTGGTCAAAGATGAGGAAGAGGAGAGGGTGGGTGGGGTTTGAACAGCCAGCAATAGAATTCAAGGCTGGAAATGTTTCATTGCCCAAAAAGGAGATGTGCTCCTGAATAGAAACAGTTTCTGGGTTCAATAGGACTTTTATTTATTTTTTTAAGAACCCCAAATCAACATTACTCATTCTTCTTAGAAATAAGAAGATAAAACCAGAGGAGTACTGCCTTTCTCCATGAAAAGTGGGCATCTGGGCGACAATGTTATTGCTTGTACGCCGATGTGTAGCGTATGTTTGTCTGTTAGCAAAACATCTCATAAACCTCTGGACAGATTTGAACGAAGCTCTCAAAGTAATCATTAGATGTACGTCCATAATGGTCTAATGTTTGGAGCCCAGTTCAAGATGGTCTCCCCATTAAACAGACCTTAGCAAATACAAAAATGTCCACGACTCGGCTAATTTTAAGCTATACACCTACGTTTCAGTTTGGTAGTAGCTGAGTGACCTCCACATCACATACTCCAAACACTCTGAGGTCTTTGTTTAAAGCTTTAACATTCAAGGTAGCTGGAGAAAAACATTTTTCAGTTCAATTCAACTTTATTGTCCATAACATTCCATGAAATGGAGATTTATCTTTGACATCTGGCTCATAAAAAAAAAAAACAACACAAGTTAAGAATGTCATAAAACTTACAAAAAGCTTTGCTAACCCAGTAAGTCAAGTCAAGGTTTATTTATTAAAAACAATCGCAGCTGACCAAAGTGCTTCACTATACTATACAATAAAAAAACATTCTAAAATACACGATACATTACAAATGTGAAAGCATCCCATCAGACAATGGTTTGTCCTGTGAGGCTGTGTTTATAGGACCCTGTTAAGGACACTCACCGCAGAGGGAGCAAATGACTTTTTGTACCCATTTTTCTTTACCAGAGGAACCACCAGTCTTCTGCCAGATGGTACCAACCTGAATAATGGTTGTAGTGGATGAGTTGGGTCTTTGTAAACCAGTGTTACCTTTTTCCCAGAACCTGACTGTACAGGTCTGTAAGTTGCTTTGTTGATGGCCAATGACTTTACTACCTTGTTTGACCATCTGGTACAACTTGTTCCTGCCTCTGGCTAGGAGGTTCCCATACCATGAGACAATATTAAATGAAACAACACTTTCAACCAGTGACCTGTACACCAACTGCAAAGTATTTTTGTTTGCATTAAAGCGCCTTAGCTTATAGTGAAGGTGGAGACGCTGTCTGGCTTTTTTTGTAAATATGGTCAGTGTTGGGCTCAAAGGTCAACTTGTTATCAATTATTCTTCCAAGTTATTTCAAATCAGTCGCCTGCTCTACTTCCTGCCCTTTTATAACAGACGGGCTGAATTTTCAAGGAATGACAGCCTAAAGATGGTTTTTGAAGTTCTTATATTTACAGTGAATAGGTTTGTTTTGATTTAGTTTTTTCTTTGTGCACTGGCGTTCGGGGGCTCAGATCATAACAGAGCGTGCATGTAGAGGAAGAGGTGTTTCCCTGTGAACTGGTTTGTGTTTGTCGCAGCCTCCGGTCCGAATCTGTTTGTGATGGCCCTCGTCCAGAGCTAATGTTCCACCTCTCGTCTGTAATATAGCGCTCCACGATGGGTACAGAATGTGCTGCTTTCCTCAGCACGTAATGTTTGCATTTGCTGTTATTTTTTTCTCACTCCCTTTTCCCTTTTTTGTTTCCTGTTTTCTCGTCTTTTCTCAGATTTGATATCTACAGGAAAGTGCCAAAAGATCTCACCCAGCCAACATACACAGGAGCTTTCAGTGAGTAGGCCATCATGCAAAAACTGAGATTGTGACGTTTTTAATGTGGATTATGAGTCTTTTTGTTGAATTGGGCTTTAATTACACCAATCAGCTACGTAATTTAAACCACCACTGTGCTATTGTGTCAATCCTCCTCATCTCACTTAACATCAGTGCAGGAACACATGAGGGTATAACGTGATGTGTGGCCCCAGGATGTTGGTAAAGAAACCGATGGCTCTGTGGGGACTATTTAGTCTGATTTAAACCAGTTTAGGTTTTAAATGAGGACAGATCTTCACCTCCTTGCTGTACTCTTTGATCTGTTTCTAGTTTCTGTGATGATGTGGGTTTCATTTGTTGTCAGCATTATATAAGCTAGAGGGACACTTTTTACAGTTATGCGTCACCTTCAGGCAACTGATGACGCTCTTGAGATTGTCACACATCATAAACGAGTCAAGTTGAACTAGTTGGGTTACCCAAGTACAGAAAAAAATATGAACACATTTGAGTTGAACTCAGTCCTTGAAAATCTTAGATGCTTTGGAATTCTAGTCTAAATTATTTAAACAAGGCAGCAATACAATTCAATATAATACAATACAATTCAATATAATACAATTCAA